GTTTGAGGACTGATTACATTTGATCTGGTCAGTTCAGTCAAAGCTGATCCAAGATGCCTGATATGGATAGCCTTCATTCTGAAGTTTGCTTCTTGCCTTATTGCATAAGAAAATGTATTTTACCTCTAAAGGGATTCACAATTTGTTAATAGCTAGATCTAGTAAAAGACATAACCTTTTCTACAAAGGCACATTTCTCAAAAGGGAGCACAGAAGGAGAAGATTGAAACTGCCTCCTGAATAAATCAAGGATCAGTGAGGGGGCAAGACTGGAATTTCAATGAACCTCTGTTTTAAATGCATGGAAATCAACCTAGCTTGTGCTAGGGATGACTTCAGTGTCATTGTGTTTTATTAGTGTTAGGGTGCTTAAAAGCAGGGTACTGTTTTCATTTTCCAATTAGCATTCCAGAATTCTTCACATGGAAGAGAAGAAGAAGTACATGCAATCAGCTTTTCCCCATTTAGTGTGAGTTTATAATGTGAAGTATCTTCTAGTGGCTGGTGGTGTCTAAGAACATTTGGAGTATTTATGGAATATATGATCTGAGTATTGAATCTCTGCCCTTAATAAGATACAATATGGGCTGGGAGATGAATCTCTTACTTTCTAAACAAGTGTCCTAGCCATTGAGTTCTGGAGATACATGCAAGAGTGTTCTGCAGCTTTGACCAGAAATTTTAATTATTTTAATGGAATGGTGTTGTATCACAAGTTAACAAATAGCTGTGCAGTTGCCTCTTGGAGATAATATATCCTAGTCAGTGGCTGGCATGTAATAAAATACAGTGCAACCAGCCTTTCTAAATACATTTTCCTGCTTCACAATTTCACTATTTACTTTATTCTCATCTGCATGTAGGAAACTTTTAATCATTTGAGTTTGAAGGAGAGCATTAATATTGTTCTTTGGTTTTGTAGTGAAATCTGATAAGCTGTGTATTTCCCCTGTTTTTTGACAAAATTATATATTTATTGCCTTGTTCGAAATTCAGATGCACTCAGCATTTTAATCGGAGTCCATTTTATTTCTGCATATACCCTGTGGTATTTCTTTATGCTTGATGAATTTCTCTGGAGATTTTTTGAAAAGCTTTCAGATTGACTGCCGAGTACTACAAACAGGGTCATTCAACACTGCAATCAGGTATTCTATTAATGGAATCGATTTGAATAAATTTCATTAAGTAAAAGTTCTAAAAACAGGAGATGGTATATCAGGAAGCTTGTAAGAATTATTTTGTAGGGGTCTAACCCAAAAATAAGATGCTGGAAGTAGCACGATTTTTTAACAGTTTTCTTTTTTTCCTGTAAAGCTTTATAATACATGGTGCACCGTCCCTGTTCACAGGCAGACTTTATTGCTATTTCAGATCAAGTACATTCCTTAGAGTACAAATAGTTTTGAAGTATTTTGTTAGCTCGAGTCGCTTTGATAGAATTCAATCACATCTGCAATCTTTCCTAAATGTAGACTTACCATTTCCCCTATCAAATTTTAAAAGGCCATTCCACTGTGGTTTTTTAAGTGCTCCATTAGACAGTGTGGCCATCGTATTGTACCTGTGCTATATCCTCTGGATAGAGCTTGCTGTCATGTTAGGGTCTGGGTTGCAAGGACTGTCTGGGGTCTAATGTCCATATGATTATGTGGTCGGATTAAAGAAGCCAGCAGCCAGCGGTTCCTTGAACACTGAAGAGAAGTTAGTATTTTGATAGTCATCACTGACAGTAGTTTATTCTGTGATCCTAGACCACAGATGAGACCAGTAAGTCCACAATTTGTGTCCTGCACAGAGGAGAATTTCCAACAGAATTTAAAGGGAAAGTGTTCAGCCCTGTTAGAATCACTGTCCCAGGGACTTACAGCACCTGACCAGGCTTTCTGTTGCTTTGCGTGTAGTTTGCCAACTTTGTGAGATGTAAAGAACATACTGCTTAGTCCTGCTTTCCCTCCATGTATTCACCCAGCATTTTAATTTTTAAAGGGACTGTTGATGTGAAAAACTGCTCCTGGAATTCTAATCCCACTTTCTTTTCATACACCAGTTTCAGCAGAGGGCCATGAAGTATTTTGCAAACAAATAGTTAAGCACCTTTGACCTAAAGATAACTTAACCCATCACATTAATGAGGTGATGTAGGTAAGTCATTTTGCGGTAACAGGACCCAGTCATATTTTTCCTGGGTAACTAGGTACCCACTCTGGTAGTGCCAAAGGTAAGTGTATAATTTGAAGCTCCAGGGAGTGCAAGCAGAACTCTGTTCACTTGGTCTTTAAACAAAATGGCATGAAGGCAAGTAACAAAATACCTTCTTTATGTTCTTTGTAAAAGATGTCCTAGTAAATAAGACCTGTCAGCATACCAGGGAAAGGCTGTCAGTTCTCCAGCAAAATGCGTTGCAAAGTGATTTAGCTGCCATTGGTGGAACTCTCTTTGTTTAAGAATAGAGTTCCTTAACACCCTGCCTGAGATCTTTTGAGATTGCAATAGAGATGCCACAGACTCTTCTAGACTGCTTCTGAACTGTTTTAGACCCAAGAGAAATCCTTATATCCCTGAGCACTCAGTAAAGGCAGAATTAACTTGTCCTGAAAGGCTAGTAAAGCTCAGAGAAGAGATGATTTACAGAGATAGAGTGATTTTTCCTTGACTGTTGTATGGGATATGGAGGTTAGAAACAGGATCTTTGAATTTATGTTAAATCCCAGAATTTGGAGATCTGAATTTTAAAATAGCAGCAGAAGAGAGAATTCAAACAAACCATTCTGCATTAGTGTTGGTAAGCTAAGCCAGGCCCACAACTACACAGATGATTAAGATGATATAAATCCTGCCTGTTGTTGTAACAGGAACTGGTAACTAGAATAATTAAGGGGTGGGGGAGTTCCAACCTTCAGCGTAGGATGCACCTGTGTAGCAAGTTACCCTAATGACACTGTCATGTCCAGATTGTGAGCAATCACTAGAAATGAGAGAAGTGTTACCAGAAATGAGGTATCCAATTGTTGGATTCTCATACTTACTCCCAGTACCCAGTTTCAGAAACCTGTAGCCCAATATACAAGAATTCAGAACACTTTGATATTAAACAAAACCAGTGGGAGCTGGATTCTGAAAATCCTGCATGCTTTAAACAGGTAAGAGAAACAGGTAAGTAGAAAAAATCAAGATAGCTCATCTCGAAAGTGTAGTGAACACTTTGGATAGTGTTGTGCCTCGATTTTATCCGCAAGAAGAGGTTACTGCAGGGAGCTGTTAAGCTAAGCTATTTATTGTTTGTGAAACAGCTAATTAATATGATGATTAGCATCCTAGAGGGATCCTAGGAGGAAAATAATAATTTAGTATTCAGTGCAAAGTTTGGATATTTTACAATAAAGGAGAAATACAAAATAAAGATTTTTAAGAAATCTGTCCATTCCATGGGTATTGATAAAACACAGAACAGATAAAGCTCCTGTGGAAACACTGTATGTGCCCCAAATTTATCATTATGGGGGCACAGAGCTAAATTTCACATGCAACCTAAGTTCTGACCATTCTTTGTTTCTGAATTCTTGACTGTGCAATTTAACATCCTCTTTTGTTTGGTTGAAGGTTTTTTTGGTCTTATTTTCTTTTCCATGATACCACATCTGGCAGTCTAGCAGTTGGAATGGGCTCTTACACAGTAGTACATTATACTAGTGTATCTCCCCCAAAAAGACAAGTCCGCTAGAACTTTTCATGTCTATGAGCTGCAGACAAATGTTTTTAACATCTAGATAAGTATCTGTGTGTTTCTGTTGAGAGGTTCTAGATTTTAATCACTTAAGAGATTGTAATTGAACCTGTATTTAAAAGAAAGCAACAGCTGGAAGACTTGACTTGTTCTTGCAACAAGAATGCTGAAAAGAGTTTTAAAAATATTAGCTGTATTTTAAGGGAAAGAAAGAAATGTAACTGTTTTCAGGAGGGCTAGCACTGATTTACAATGAAAGCAAAACCAAGTACGCAATAAAGCTTTTTGGACTGGTGAGATCATATGGAACTCACAACAAAAATAGCTCTTCATACTGCTGGAGTACTGCAGTGTCCATGTGACCTTTCCAACATGTTTTTGTTTTCTCTCTTCTGCTGGGGAAAGCTACTTGCCCTCACTGCTTCTCCTCGGGGATTATATCAAATTGTAGCAAGTTTGCAAATGCAGCTCGTATCATCACTGTGTATTTGACAGTGAAATTATGTGTTCTGAACAGACTTTTTAGCTTGGATGCTATCTGACTAAATCACTCATACTCTTCTTGTGAGTGAAACAACCTCAGCAGCTGAAAACCACTCATACGGGGCGAGTTTTAATAAAACCACCAGAAGGTATTTGTTTTCCTAGGCTTGAACCTGTTCTGCATCAGAAAGAATTTGAATAATTCTGTCCTTCAGGCATTGAAGAGTGTCATATTTTGGAGCACCAGCTATTAACATGACTAATGTCAATTTTGCCTAACTAAAAGCTGTACTGTCCCTTGAGTTAAAAGTGTTAAAACTCTTTTGCCTTTCTTGCCTTCATTCATTTCATATCAGCACCTTTGAAAGTGTGCCCATGAGGTGTTATGCTACGCTGGATTGTTTCCACAGCAACTTTCAAAATAAGTATTTTTATAATGCATCACCAGAGCAACTAAACCAAGATATTCTTTGTGCTGCAGTTGCATGTGGGCAACAGTTAAGATTCAAAGTCCCATGTGCTCATGCCACTATTGCATTTTAAACACCCTTTTGTGCCTTGAACCAAAAGATTGAAGTTGTTCCATCTACAAAACCTGGCCTTTTTAACTCAAGCGTTTAACTCAAGTGGCATTGGATTTTAGTTCTAGGGGTCAGTCACTGGCCTGGTGTTTTCACTGGGACATGGTTCCTTCACTGGCATCATGGAGACATGCAATGAAAGAGCTCCAAAGAGCTGGGGGTTCACTTTGTCACCTGTCTCTCTCTGTCCTTCTTTGTCCCTCTGTTAGGAGCTGTACTCTAAAGCTTCCCATGCTTTAGTGGAGTTGGTGACAGAGCTGTTTCTTCAGAACCTACCTGTTGTGACTGGCCTCTCTGTAAGAGAATGTGAGCTTCTGAAAGAGGAATGGCAAGAGAATTTGGTCCCTCAGCTGGAGAAATGGGAGACCCACCACCAGAGACGCTGGAAGTTTTTCCAGGAACAGCTATTGCAAGAAAAAGAAGTAAGATTCATATTATGTTCTGGGATCCCAGGGTCTGAAACAGGGATATGGAAAAAAGTTATCAAGATACTTAATCTGTGGCGATAATACACAGCCCAGGTCCAGACACAGGTCTAGACTCAGGATGGACTGTTTGACCTGCAGTATGGAGTGAATATATATGCTGTGGATGTAGACTTGCATAGAGGAATCAGAGAGCAATTATTGAACATCTGTCCACAGTGTTTGATGCCATTGTCAACGCATAAATAGTTTTTGGCAAGGCTGCTGTGTGATGTCCTCAACTCTGCAGAATCTACAGAAACAGGTCAAAAAAACCTTCATCTGGTCTGTTTAGAGGGGGTACGTATGAGTACAGTTTACAGGAAAGGAGACCTTACAATGATAATTATTTCTTAATCATTTTTATGTATTAATACTATAATAACTGGAAACATATGATACACATTTTATGTAAAACTTATTCTTTACTGTGAGAAGGTGAAGAAACACACATCCAGCTTTCCTGCTCGGTTTGTGCCCAGCACAGGGGACATTGACTTCAGAGAAGGAAAGCAACAACAGTAAATGTGGAGGCAGGTACCTTCAGCATTAGGCTGGAACTCAAATATATCTTCAATTTATTCATGCAATGCTATGTCTATTAACACTGCTTTGAAGACTAACACAGCTTGGTCAAAGATAGGCCTTCTCTATACAAAGGCATGCCCCTTCCCAAATGTTAAGTGTGCGCTGCAACATATAGAGTAATTGGAGCTTCTTAAATAAAAGGTTGGCAGAGTTCTTTATCACTGGAAAAATCATACTTTTCCCTGCTTTCATTCTCTAAAGTGCCTGGACAATCCAGTACATGGGTAATAGGGTACTGATTGAGTCCCTAATTATTACAGACTGCTATAAGGTGTTTTAACTTTTCCACCTACTCATATTTAGGGTTCTTCCATAAAACCCTGTGATTCAGGAAACTGTGGGCTTCCTACTAAATCTGGTAGAGTGGTTTGCTGACCAGTGGTTTTAGAACACACTTGGGAATACAAAAGTAAAATTATTCATTGGAAATTCTTAGCCATTTCCTTTTTTTCTTCTCTGTTTTCCTTAGTCTGGTGTTATACAACATGCACCTCCCTGATCATTTTGTATTTACTTCATTGTAACTCACCTGTTACCTCAAGTATTTTGAAAAACAATTCTGCTTGTCTCTTCTGTTTCTGTGGCACAGGGATATCTAGCAAACTAAACTAAAATGTGCTTGGGACTGGCCACTGATGCCAGTGAGTCTGCTCATACGCTTTAAGTTAAGGGCAGGCATTTGTGTTTTCTAGGACTGCTGGCTGGCATTAGTGTTTGAATTTGGCATACCTATACCTTCAGTGATCAGTGAAACAATGTCTGACCTCAACTTTTTTTTATTTTGCCCCTTTTAATCAAGGATTAGATTCAATACCTGACTTGGCAGGCTTAAACCTCTACATTGCTTTTCATTTTCACATTCACCGAGGGTTCACAAATTGCCTGTCCTTGTATGTGAATGACCTGAGCAGCCTGGTCTAGTAGGTGAACTACAGGCCTGTCTCATAGTACATGCAGCCCAAAGCACCACGGTGGTATCTGTTGTCATTAAGAACCACAATGAGAGAAGGAGATTCTGGTCTGCGACTTATGATTGGTCTCGGAAGTCAGAGTGCATGTTAGGGCACCTCTGCTCTCGTTCTTCCACTGTCCCATGGGACCTCAGCCAGTGTTCAGGGCCAGAGTTTTAACAGCTAGGAGACTCTCCACAGAGGGGTAGATCTCAAGTGTGAAGTTTTGTTCCAAAAATGCTGTTTATGCATTCCTCTGTTACTATCATTTGGCACAGTATTGAGGGGAGAAACTGCACCCTGGGATTTTTTTCTCAAGGGATTAAAAGGATTAGTTCATCTCCAGCACTCAGTTGCTGGACAGTAGCTCTTTGGGCAGCACTGTATGATGGATTCATTGTATGTGAATTTGGATGTTCCAGTCATGCCCAGGCATAGGTTATTTAAATTAGAAAGTTGACTTTCCATCACTTTCAGTGTACTGTAGCATTCAAAATATAAAGCAGATGAGTTCCTAGCTGAAAAAATAAAATAAAAAAAAAGAATAATGCGTTTGCTGACTGTTCCAGTCATGCCCAGGCATAGGTTATTTAAATTAGAAAGGTGACTTTCCATCACTTTCAGTGTACTGTAGCATTCAAAATATAAAGCAGATGAGTTCCTAGCTGAAAAAATAAAAAAAAAAAAGAATAATGCATTTGCTGACATCATTAACAGTAATTACTGAGCTATAGAGGCATTCACTTAGCAATGACAGAGCTCTCACAATGGTCTCGGTCGCCAGCACTGCCGTTGGGTCTTATGGATTATAAAAATTTCCTGATCAGCAGACAGAGCTGTCCTAGAGATGAGTGAGTGTGTGGGATAAATTCCTAGAAGAGACAAGGGTTTCTGCTAGTGGGAAAACGTGTGATTCCTCAAGACGATATTCTTTGCAGGAGCTTAAGTAGTTTTTTTAATTTAATGTGTGTGGCTTTTTGGAAGTGATTTGAACTAAAATGGAAAAAAGTCTGTTATATCTCCAAAGAGAACATGCCGGGAGAGAGCTATTCAACAAAAGCTAGGCTGGCAGATTTTCCTTTATAAATGAGTCTGAAAAACATCACACAACTCAGTATATTTACGTTCAAATGCAAAGTGCATTTCTTGGCCCTTTCCTAGTATAAAAGCAGTAACATTCACATTTAAGCAATAAGCTGACACTTACGTCCTACAAAAAGGAGCACTTTTTTTTTTTTCTGAAGAGAAATCAGACACCTGTGACAGGTGATCATGTCATTTAGGAGATCCCATAGATGTTACAGTGCTGAATATGACAGAAAATCCATAAATCAACATTCATATTGACAGGTCTTTTTATTTATCAGGCTTTTTCCAGCAGGAGATACGTCTTTCATTTGCCTCTTGATAAATGTACTATACTGAGAGTTACATAGTCACCTGCTTTACAGACTTGGAAAGTCTAACACCAGAAGGCTTTCCACTAGGGCATTTATGTGTGCTTTTCAAGGTGGCTCAAAAGGACATTTTTCCCATTTACTTGAATTGCCTTTGGTTTTTTTTTTATATTATCTTTCCTAGCATTTATACGTATCTGGAATATGATGTCCTTTGGGGGGACAGAATCTCTTTTACAATTGAAAAGAAAAAATCAGTTTCATGTCTAACTTTGCCTTATATACTTGAAGATGTGAGTAAGGCAAATGGGAATAAATGACTAATGAAAATAAATTTTGAGCATTTTCTGACATAGTCCCTATCTCATGATTTCTGTAGATGAGCTCTCCTGCCTGGGCTGCAGTTACGGGGAGCAGACTGCTGCACCAGGCCGAGGTACTTGCTTGGCATTCAGTGGGCATCACACCCCATCTACAGGCTGTTAGGGAGAAATAGCTTTCCTTCAATTTCCTGAATAATCTTTGCTAAAAATGTCAAACTGAGAGCTGCAGAAAAAAGTGAGCTTACTTGGGTCTAATTTGGTGTTGTATCTGAGGTCTAACTCAAAATATTTTATGGGTTTCATTACCTACAAAAGACATATTCCTCACCTTTATTGCCAGAGAGTGATACTTAATGTTAGCAGTGCTCCAGAAGGTCTTGTGATGGACTTGTGGCCAGGAAGCAAAAGACTGAGAAGCTTACATAGTAAAAATGGGGTGAGGAGATTTCCATCCATTCCCACATCACTGCTTGACACCCAGAAAGCTGAACTGGCATCTGCTTACCGGTTTTGCCATGGTCTGCATTTTTTCACTTTCTCTTTGTTTTATACTCATTTTTTTGTAGCGATTGGAACAACTCTTCAAGAAGCCAGACATTCCTTGGAGCTTTCCTCCCCCGTTTACCATGCATTTGTCACTGGTTTTACTGGTCAAATGCAGGAATCAGAGAGCCTGACCTCTGTTTCAGCCCCTGAGTCTATGCAGCAGTGTGATTTTCTCTGCTCTGTACGACCTGTGTCCAAGCAAAGTAAGGCCATTCCCAAGAACAGGAAAGCTTGGAGAGGTGCCTGCAGACTTGACCCAGCATTGGAAAATCAGTGCAGCACAAAGCCTGACGTTTCCATCTGGCTTAATGAAATAGTTGTTTCCGTTTTGCTGGTTTTCAGGCATACGCCAGCAGCCTCAAATTAAGATTCCCAGAGGATCTTTGCTGTTCCATTTATGCCTGTATGTGTGAGTTCTTCTGGTATTTCGGAGGTGGAAAATACCCAGCCCTCCCAGCCCATCCCAGTAAGCTGCTGAAGTGTTGTTCCCAATAAAACACAGTATTCTGTTTGTTCCCAGCTGATCCTTCCCTTCTTGATCATCTTCCTAATGGCCTTTTTGAGACAAAACACTGGTTTAGTATTTGGCCCAAATCTCAGTCTTCCTTATTTATTATCCAGTCTTCAATGTGTAATAATCCCCCTCCTTTTGTCTTTGTTCTCTTACTACTTGTATGGCTGATGTATTTCTAGTGTTCAGTTTAATAACTGTGCACCAGGGTGATTTTCTGCTGTATTCTCAGCTTTCTATTGGTCTCAGGGAGGTGAAGAGACCTTTTATAAATTCTGCATACAGCTTACCTTAAATGCACTCTCAGTGGAAAAGGTGAGCCATTCTTTTCCTTTAAAAGAAACTCGGTTCACCGATGCAGAACTAGGCTATTTCTTCATCAGCAGAAGTAAAAAATGAGTACAATCCCTGTCTTTGTTATCATTCTGGGTGATTTTTTGGATAGGACATACTGGTAGCAGCAGAGGTGCTAAATTTTGGGTTCTTGGCTGCAATATTATATCATTTACCATTCCAATTGTAATTCAGAAAATGTCTCCTGTCTTCTGTATCTTGGTGATCTATACCCTTATGCTGTTTGACAGTAAGTGTGGAGACAGCCCCTTCAAGAGCAACTTCTCAGTGAATAACCAGGTCTCCAAAAATGATGGAAAGCCACATCTGAGCCACAACCAGTCTCTCATTGAAAATGAAAATACTTGTAGAAAGTCAAAGGTCATTTTCAGCCCTTCTTTTAACTGCTGAAAGAGACATTAAAATATACAATGTGATGGATCTACAAGGCATATACAGAGAGGTGTGAGACACTACGAAGCTATATCCACAGAGCCGCTAAAGGGAAATACTGATACCGTTACTACTTCAAGCAAGTATTTGCCATCTGTCATGATGATACCTGGAGACCTGATAGACCTTAATTGGAAACTTGCAGCATGCAATTAGAGAAGGCACTGTGCTCAGCTGTGCTCTGTGATTTTAAGAATCTCCTAGAGTGAAATCAGTTGAGGTCTAGCTACACAGCTCTTTCTGAAAGCAGCCTGGTGCGCTCCCCGGCACCATACAGACTTTCAGGCTGTGCTTCTCATGCTCAGCTGCACTC